AGGGAGCAGCTGAGTGCCTTGGATTAGAAAGCACTGGATATTTCTTGTTTCTACTACAAATTCCACCGGCTGTAAGCTTTCCAACTTTCTAAATATTCCTTTATATGTCGTTCAGAGTTCTGAGACCATCCCCTGAGCCTGCTCAGTCTGGTACTCTGTGCTGTTTCTGACAGAGCTCCTCACTGCACTTCCACCCAATCCACCATCTTGTTTGTTCTCTTTCTTAATTGTGTTTTAAAGGCTATGCATAGAACATTTTTGGAACTATGAGAAAGCTTCAAAAAGTTCATGGCACATGGACTTAAAAGACAATGACCATCACCTAATTCACAACAAAAGATAATGGAATTTTTCTGAGAACGTTTTGAAGCCTTTTTATATATGCTGTAAACCTGTAACATTGGAGTTTGGGTTTGCTATTGGGGAGGGCTTCTGAGGCAGAAGAAAGATCCTTTCATGTGTAACCTTTTTTACTTTTAAGGTATCTTAACCTGTGCATGTATTACTCTTTTTGTTACTTAAAAGAAGAAAGCTTAATTGATTAAGCAAATGTATAAAAAGGAGCTGCCCTCTAAGGTAATTTTATAAAGCACTTACTTCATACCTAGATGTGAACTAGGAACCTTGGAATTAGGACATATACCCTATTCTTTAATTCAAGACATAACTACTTGCATTAAAATTTTTAAGTAACTTGTAAAAAGGCATCTAATATGATAAAATTTAAAAGGAAAAGTGTGTGTAATACATTGACAAGATAAGAAAGAAAAGTAAAACTTTTTTATACCAGAGTTATATACAGTTATATATAGTTCATAAAGTTGGTCAAAAATTTCTTCCTGAGCTTTTTGTCAAGATGGCCTTTTTGTATAACTTTTGGGGACATGAGTCTCATAGCCTTAGCATGTGAATACTACCCCCTTGAATATAAATCCTGGAAGTTCCTGACACTAAAGTAGAAAGTAATACAATTGATTTTCAGTATCCATGAAGAAAAATCATGTCTCCCTTCCCCACCTCACTCCCAGAGAAGCAAAGATTTCCTTGTCTTTGGACTAAAAGTAATATCTTACTTGGTTTTCAAATAGAGATATCATTATATGGTGAATACAGTATCTGAGAATAATAGTACCAATTGTGGTGTCCCTCCGTGTAAACCAAGGACATTCTTCCAAATCACAGTTCATTTAAACAACTTTACTGGCAACCAAAATGGTGAGACATAACTACACAGTTCTCTGGTGGGTGAAAGATATTACAATGTAGTTATGTTACCAAAATGTACATAAAGCAACCAGAAGACACGTAAGAAAGCTTATATAATCAAATTTGTGATTTTATTTTACAGAGTATACATTGATACCATTTTTTCTCATGGATTGAAGTTATTTCAATTAGGTTTCAGGACTATGATCTCTAAACTAGAATAAGTATTAATAAAGTAGATCATCTTGGCAGGAATACTTTATTATTAGAAATTACTTGATAAGGAATAGTGTTGTGGAGTTCTGGTGTGGCGCTGTGGGTTAATACACCAGACTGCAAAGCCATTTGAACTGCAAAGTCAGGTGTTGAATCTCAACAGCTGCTCCTTGGAAGCCCTATACAGGTTCCTTGCTATGGGTCAGAATTGACTTGATGGTACTTAACAACAGCAGTAGTGATGTAGAAGTCCTGATATGGTGGTGTAGGATAAGCACAACAACAATAGTATTATACTTTATAGTGACTTCACAAAGTCAGCACCTAAGAGACCATAATTTATTTTCCAGAAATATACTCAGAGCAATGGAAGAAGACCTTTTGGTATTTCTGCCTTAATTGTAGGTTTTGATGATGATGGTATCCCAAGGTTGTATCAGACAGATCCCTCTGGTACCTACCATGCTTGGAAGGTAAGTTATGAATTTATTAATATATTTTTTAGACATTGTGTTCATTACAAATATTGCTTTCAGCAATGTGACAAAAGTTAAGGTACATAATTATAATGGTGGCACAGACTTCATAAATGTCACGGACTTTGGCATATCAGAAATTATGATAGTTTATAGGAGTCTTGGTGTGGTGCTGTGGGCTAATGCATCAGACTGCAAAGTCATTTGAACTGCAAGGCTGGTGATTCAAGCTCACCAGGTGCTCCTTGGAAACCGTCTACAAGGTCAGAATTGACCAGACGGCACTTAACAGCAACAACGGTAGTGGTGTAGGAGTCCTGGTATGGTGTTGTAGGATAAGCACTGGACTATAAGGTCAGTTTGAACCACAAGGTTGGCGGTTCAAGCCCACCAACCACTCCTTGGAAACCCTGTGCAGGGTTGCTATGAGTCGGAACTGACTCAATGGCACTTAGCACAACAACATTGTGATATAGGGGAGAACGACCCATCTTCAAAGACGTAAATATACAGACTCAAATAAGTCTTAACAAAAAGTAAACAGAAAAAAAAAAAACCAGACATAGATGACCTGGGTGAGGGAAAGCATAGATACCATGATGAGTTTCCAAAGTTGTGTCTCCATGTGATGACCTTGCACAGAGAACAAAGGAATTTCTTTCCACAATTAATGGCTAATAGTAGCAGCCATGCATCACATATGCATACCAAAGCCAACAGGAAGCAGTGAAGGGACTACTATATTTAAAAAAGCTTACAGTCTCTGAGGCTCTCCGGGTATGACATCACTAGTGACCATTAAGGGATGTGTTTAGGAATGTTCTTGCAAAAGAAGTGGCACAAAACCCACTTTAAAATATACTCTGTTTCTAACTTCAGCTGTCAGAGGTGCATGAGATAAAGAAAAATTGGCATCTGAACACTTATACCTAGGCACAGGATGGAATGAAGCTGTGCTAGTCTGAAGTCATTCACAGGCAAAAAGACTTCAGATTTCATGCTTTACAGCATTCCCTCCTTTTGGTGGTGATCACTATGATGACCAAAATCCTAGACTTCACTGGACTCCTGTTGTTGTTAAGTGACATCAAGTCAGTTCCAACTCATAGTTACCCTGTATGGGGTTTCCAAGGAGGAAAGCACAGCGAAACATCTTTCTAGTATTCTCTGCTTTCAACCAAGATCCTTCTGACAGCAGCAATGTTATCCCTCGTGCCACGTCCTCTTCTGAATCCACCTTGAACATCTGAAAGTTGTCTGTCAATGTATGGTTGCAGCAGTTTTTGGATTACCTTTAGTAAAACTTTACTTACATGTGATATTAATTATATTGTCCAATAATTTCTGCATTCCATTGGGTCACCTGTTTTTGGAATGGGCAAAAATATGGATCTCTTCCAGTCAGTTGGTCAGGTAGTTGTCTTCCAAATTTCTTAGCACAGATGAGTGAGTGCCTCCAGTGCTGCCTCAGTTTGTTGAATGATTTCCATTTATATTCTATCAATTCCCGGTGGCCACCACTTGTCTGTCTGTCGTGGTGTGGTGGATTGAGTTGCTGTGATTCTGAGGGCTCTGCCACCGGT